TCAATAATAGAAATATAAATATAATGATAGCATAAAGAATAATGTTTATAGAAGTTCTCAATAAGAACTTTTCATAAATCGAAAAAATTTTATGTCTTATTCAGTAAAGGATTCTGAAACTGAGTACAGCAACCGTCAATAGCGTGACTATAAACTTTAAGTTAACAGATATTAAAGAAATCGCTAATAATTCTTTTCGAGAATAATTTTTTTAAGAGTTTTCGGGTAAGCTTCTTACAATTTGACCATTTAGATCTAAACAAAACGGCGTATTTTCTTCAGTCTGTCTTTTATGAAAATCATTGATTTCTTAAAAAAAATTGTTATTTTATACCGGAAACTATAAAGATCGCGTTATTAACATTTATACCTTAAAAATATGTGGGTAGTTTTTTTTCTAAATTTTTTTTCAATATAGCGGACTCAACATTGCAGCCGAAATCACGAATTTCATCTTGTTACGTTCTGCAGATTTACCTAACAAAATTGTCTTTTCCTCTTGCGGATTTATATTCTCCTAATATAACTATAATAGGAATATATACATATATAAATATAAATTAAGAAACAGACCCATCTGGCGAATAGCCGTCGCGCCAAATGAAAGGCGATTTGGGAAAAATTTCATAACAGGAAACAGTGCCCTGTTGCAAAAATCTACACGTTTTCGTTTAAAGTTTATATCTGGGTAGTGTTCGCCAAGTGTGTCCGTCGTCCTAGCTATAAAAATTTGAAACTCTGCGCTAACAAACCTTTAGTAAAATAAAGTAACTCAGAGCATCCCTGCTCTAAAACTTGAAACTTATACATCTTCCCAATCCAAAACCATATGTGCCCTATCAGTCAACCAACAAAGCTTACTTCACCGATGGTTATAAACTCTTATCTCAACCCTTGATTTACGGCATTTTGATTTTTCCAGCCGGCCACTTATATATATTTCTCTATCTCAAGAATCCACCACCTCCACGCTTGTCGCGCCTAATCCATTCAGCTAATCATATCATATCCACCTAAAACTATGAGACACCCACGCTCCACCCTTTAGCCCTTTCATATTCATATCTCCAAAAACTAACCGTCTCCTCCCACGATGTCTTTTAACTTCACTAATGGCTAAGACTTTTTCCCACTACTATCAACCAGGACCAATAATAAAAATTAGTAACAAAATCTTTAACTTCATTGGGTTCTCCTTAGGGTTTCACCCCTCCCTAAAAGGGCCATCTCTCTACCCACCCTGATAGCTTCTGCCTCCGATCATTGATATAAAAACCGCGGTAATCCGCCTCCGCGAACAGAAGAACACGGAAACAAAAAAGCTCAGACTCGCACTCTCACGCAGATATTCAGAACTCAGATATTCAGAACTCGGATATTCAGATCTTGAGCATTAGGACTCAGATTCAAATCTTCAGAATTCCAGTTCATTCAAATATTTAGTATTCAAATATTCAAGCATTCGGATTTTGGAAAAAGTGTGGGCTTCCTCTTTATATAATATAAGTGAACGACTATTTGGTGCCTCAATCGGAATACGAATATTGGAAACGAGAACACTTACGCAGATCTGCGTAATTCTCACTTCTGCTTGTGTCAACTCATCCTGAATCAGTAGTAAGTTTCATTTTCTTTACTGTATCTTTCCTACTTCTATTTTATTTATTCCACCCTTGTTTTGAAATCCGGTTTTAGTGGGCCATTACCGTCATTCAGTGGTATCCATCCAACAAGTCCTTCGTTTCTTTGAGACGGTGTACGGGACTAGAGATCTATATGAATTCGAACATCATTTGCAATATCTCCGTTCCATTATAAATATTTCACTTGAAACAGACTTTCACCCAGACCCGACACTCCTATCCCCTTTTCTACTTCGACGTCTACCTATTAGTCCTCCCTCGTCTCCCCCATGCGCATTCACTCCTACCCCTTCAATCTCATATTCTCCCGTCTCTTTTTCTGAACTGTCCACTCCTTTAAATTCGCCATATCACTATCGTTCTCCTTCACCTGATTAACTTCCTATTCCTATTCTTTCTCTTTCCAATCCTTTTCTTCTTCCATTTCATACACTCACACACACATACATACACTTATTCGTCTAAATGTATTAGGTGCGCAACTAAGTTCCCGCTGTTTTTCAAGAGATGGCTCCAGTAGTAAGTGCTGGTCGATTGTGACATAACCAAAACGTTATGAACCAAGCTTAGACATATGGTAAACAAACCGCTTTGACACATTAGTGATTTTGTTTTTGCATCATATACTTTTGGTTGTGTGAAAATGTCTTATTTTGTGCCAAATAATCGTCATTTGCGGGAAGTGTTGCTTTTCTTCTTTCATTCGAAGAAAACGGCGGCTGAAGCGCATCGAGAACTTCAAAAAGTTTACGGAGATGCTGCTCTAAGTGAAACAACGTGCCGTGATTGGTTCCGTCGCTTCAAAGACGGTGATTTCGATGTTGACGACCGTTCGCGTGAAGGAAGGCCAAAAACCTTCGAAGACGTTAAATTGGAGGCATTGCTCGATGAGGATCCATGCCAAACGCAAAAAGAGCTCGCTTCAGCATTAGGAGTTAGCCAAGCCATTTCCAAGCGATTGCATGCGTTGCGAATGATTCAAAAACAAGGAACTTGGGTTCCTTATGATTTGAAGCCAAGAGACGTTGAGCGTCGTTTTTTCGCTTGTGAACAACTGCTCTAGCGGCAAGAAAGGAAGGGTTTTCTTCATCGCATTGTTACGGGTGATGAAAAATGGATTCATTACAGCAACCCAAAGAGAACAAAATCATGGGGACTTCCCGGTCATGCTTCTACGTCGTCAGCTCGGCCGAATATTCACGCTGCGAAGGTTTTGCTGTGTATTTGGTGGGACCAGGGCGGTGTTATTTATTATGAGCTGTTGAAACCGAACGAAACCATCACTGGGGAACGGTATCGAACTCAATTGATGCGATTGAGCCGAGCACTGCGCGAAAAGCGGCCATAATACGAGCAGAGGCACGAAAAAGTGATTCTACAGCATGACAACGCTCGGCCTCACGTTGCCAAACCCGTTAAAACCTACTTAGAAACGCTCAAATGGGAAGTCCTACCTCACCCGCCATATTCCCCAGATATTGCGCCATCCGATTATTACTTGTTCCGTTCGATGGCACATGGTCTGGCTAATCAGCAGTTCCGCTCATATGAAGACATCTCAAAATGGCTTGATTCGTGGATAGCCTCAAAAGACGAACACTTCTACCGTGACAGTATTCGAGCTCTGCCAGAAAAATGGGAAAAAGTTGTCGCTAGCGATGGGCAATATTTTGAATGATTCATTTGTAACCATTTTTTCACAATAAAGTTGCATTTTCATCAAAAAAACAGAGAGAGACAACAGCGAGAACTTAGTTGCGCACCTAATATTTATCTTAATAAATCTGTAAAAATCCAAACCGCGCCGTTATTATCAAATTTGCTAATTCAAACCGTACTGCAATATCATTTTGTTATCTTTATTTCAATAAATCTGTTAATAGTTATTATCACTAATTAATTTCAAAATCACATCCACCCTTCCAACAGTCAACTCATGGTTCTATCCCCGGTAAAGGGACTCGCGTCCTTGACCGAAAAACGGACCGCTCGTCGTACGTCGGTGTCCGAGTAAAGGAACCCGTCGGGTCCCTGACCCGTTCACTGACACACGTGTACGAACGAGGTTCGCCTTTCCTGCGAACGAAAAGGTTGTGCTCCTCCTCTAGGACGTAACAATCTTATATCGATTTTTTTAACGTTTTTTCACTTTATAATGCTGATTTATTCAATCTGTCTGATATATCACTCCGCAACATTGTTATAATATTCCTGCGATATTATAGATTGATATATCACATTGAAGTATTACTGCAATACTCAGAAATATTACGTAGTGGTCTATCATGCTGAAATATAGCGGCAATATTCCTATGATATTGCAATGAGATTTATCATCGCGCAATATTGCAGTGCTGTGTGGGAAGTAACGTGTACGTTACATGTATTTGTGTTTACTGGGTAAAATAACTGCATAATGAAAATTACGTATATATAAAAACGTCAAGAATATGGATTCTGGCTGTAATAAATTGGCCAATGATAAATTATTGTTGCTCAATAATTTTATTTGTACATTTTTTATGTTTATATAAAAGTGTGTGAAAAATTTTGATAATTATTTAGAAGTCTGGCAACACTTAAATTAAGAATATTTATATAAATACTTTTCTCATATGTCACCTTGTGTAGGGGCCTTTGCTAATCTGTTCAGAATCTATCATTTTAATATATGGTAGACTCATCAATTTAGTAAGGCAAAGATTTAAAGATATATTCTTTTATAATTATTATACACAAGATATGAGTTATTTTGAATTGTACAAAAAATAACTTCTATTTTGTGTACTGTAATTATAAAACAAAATGTCTTTAAATCTTCGCCTTATTAAAGCGATGAGTCTACCATATACTAAAATGATAGATTCTGAAAAGATTAGCAAAGGCCCTTACGCAAGGTGGCATGTGAGAAAATTAATTATATAAATATTCTTAATTTAAATATTTTCATTTAGTTGTTGCACTGTGCTATACTAGTACAATAAGTGTAACGAAGACTTTACCTTGTAATGACAGGTTTCCTAACATCCCTAACAGCATAGATGTCCAGGAGACGTCCAAAGTACATCTTGAGGACGACCTCGGAACGTTTCTTCGTCCTTAGGATGTCCCTGGGATGTCCTTAGGAGATCTTGTGCTATCTGGGATATCATACCTCTATCTTTAACAATTTTGTTCTCGCTTTGTAGAGCCGAGCGATGATTTTTACTTTCAGATTCGGCTTCTACACATGAAAATATATAATATAGCTGAGATTCAGCAAAATCCAAGGTGGTGTCAGGCTTTTAAATAATTACCAACATTTATTTTGTTAACTTATTTCCAATTAATTTATAAATTTGTTTTGTTTACAGTGCGATTAAAAGAGATTGTTGCATATAATGTCTGATCACGAGAAATATTGTATAACTAGTGTAGCAAATGAAATCCATATTGAAGATGCTATTGAAGACATGGAAAATTTGTCTGATGATGTTGAAAGTATTATTGATACACAAACAAGCAATGATGACTTTCTTATAGAGTTATATAGAGAACGACCATTTTTGTACGACAAGAGAAATTCTAATTTTAAGGATACATTAATGAAACAAAATGCATGGAACGAAATATCTAAAACAATGATTCAGACAAATTGCGGTAAGTATTTATTAAAATGTTTATTGAATCATTTAGGATCATTAGATAGCAGGGTGATATCATTATTTTTTTTGGTGACGCAGGGGAAATCCGTTATGGATACCCCCGACCCTTGGGGGGGTCGGGGGTTATGTCGGACTTTTACCGACTAAAACCCCTACGGGATGCCTATCTGTCGGACCGGTGTGGGGGGAGTCAGGGGCACTGCTCCCGCATTCCCTCCCCGAAACCCCGGCCCCAGGGCTCTTTTCTAAGAGCCCCACGCCACCTGTTACCGCGCCCTGTTTCGCAAAGGGAATCCAGGGCGCGGTCCCGGTCGGTCTGAGACCGACCGGTTAGCCTTCTGGTATCACCTATGGGGTGAGGGGACATCCGCTTTCACCCCTTACCCCCCCTCCCCGTTAGCCAGGGAGGGAGGGTTTCTGGGGGAGTGGGCTCGTCCCCAAACGGGGCACCGCTCCCCCCCTATCCCTCCATGTCCGTGGCCATCTTCCTCTAAGAGGAAGAGCCGGATCCCCCCTGCCAACGGAAGCAGGCCCGAGGCGGCCGAAGAGGGCATGGACCCCCGCTATTCGGGGGTCCTTCTACTTCTTCGGCCGGTGATACTTCAGGCCCGCTGCCTAGGTTATCCCCCCCTCATGGGTCGCCGATCACCCCGTCGTCGTCCGCGACGACGGGTTGAGCGTGGTCGGCGCTCCCTCTCGGCGGCCTCCTTCTTGGACATAACATCCCTACTGAAGGAGGCCGCCGCTTCCCAACCCTCCTCGCTCCCGCAGATGGATTGGACCATGCGCGGGAGCGAGATTTCCCCAACGCGACACCCCATCGCCCCGGCCAGGACACAGCACTCCCCTTCCCAGGCCGGACAAGCGGCCAGGGTGTGGAGCGCCGTGTCCATAAGCACGGGGCAGTGGTGGCACCTGGTGGTGAGCTCCTTCCCGATCTGATACAAATACTTGCCAAAACACCCATGGCCCGTCAGTATCTGCACCAGATGGTAGGACAATCCGCATCCCCTCCTGCCCGCCAACTCTGGCAGGCAGGGGCGGACAGCCTCCGCCGTCTGGCACCCGTACCCCCGTGGGTTGGACAGTTTGTCCGCCCACATCTCGTGGGTACGGGCCACAGCTTGGGTTTGTAAGGTCCCTGGCCCTTAGCTACCCCTCCTTGCGGAGCTCCTTGACCCTCCAATAGAGGATTCGTCGCTCTTCAGCGAGGAGCTCCACGGGAGGGAAGTCGGCCAGGGTGGTCGCCGCCATGTATGAGACCGTGCTGTATCCTCTGATCGTCCTTATGTACATTGGTCTCAGCGCCTGCCGCATGCGGCGTATGCCATCGCGGCAGGCGCTGAGCTGGGGCGCCCCGTACAGGGCGATGGACAGCACGGCCGTCACGTATAGGCGGCGAGCCCTCCATTCTGGATCCCCAAGGTTGCGCAGGAGACTGGCCACTGCCAGTCCGGCCTCGCGCACCCTGGGGGCCAGATTCCTGAAATGCGGGCCGAACTCCCATCGGCTGTTCAATGTCAGGCCGAGATATTTAATCGTCGGCCCGACGCGGATGCGGACGCCATCGACCAGGACCTGAGTCTCAGGCGGCGCCCCTCGACTGCCGTCGTGAAAGAACACGGCCTCAGTCTTATGGGGCGCCACCTTCAGACCCAGGTCCGCGATGGTTCTCACCACCGATGCCACTGCAGCCTCCGCGCAGAGGCGAGCTTCCCCCCAGCTCTTTCCCCCGGCCGCCACTAAAGTGTCGTCTGCATAACAGACGACGTGGCAGCCCGGGGGAAGCGGACCGGGCACAACGCCTGGTCGAATGCGATGTTCCATAGTAGGGGGCCGAGAACCGACCCCTGCGGAACACCGCGTTCCATCGCGCGCCGGCCTTGGACCCCGCCCTCCTTCGGGAAGGCGAGGTCCCTGCTCTCGAAGTAGGCCGCTAATATCCGCCGGAGATAGACGGGCACCCCGTGGTGTTCGAGAGCCCGTCCGATCTCCGAGCAGGGTGATATCAAATAACATATTAATTATGTTTTAATAATGTCCCCAATGCCAATAATATGTCATTAAGATGCTTTTAGACATTATCTTACTACTTAGGATGTTTTCATTAATTTATTTAATAACTTTCACTGTAGGCGATTTGTACACACCAGAGCACTGCTAAAGAAGATGCACTTCTTTAAGAGAACAATACAATCGTGAAAAGAAAAAGATAGAAAATGAATGTAAAAGTGGAAGTGCTGCTCTAAATCCCAAATCTAAATTTTCATTATATTCTAAATTAAAATTTTTGGATGAAGTTATTAAAAGGTATTATAATGTCAATAAACTTAACAATGTAATATTTATAATATATCTTTTTTGTAATTAATATCATTATTAATATCATTATTTAATATCATTTAATTAATTAATATCATTATTTGTTTCAGAACTTATAGTAATGTACCAAAATGGCAATCGAATTCAACTTTAATTGACAAAAGTGTTTCAAGAAATAAAGCATGCATCTCAGACAATGTTGACATTTCTTCAAGTAATAAAGAAAATGAAGACATTAAGAAACAAGAAATTATTGATAAAGGAAGTTCTCCTCCAGAAGTTTCAATAAATTCTGCAGCGCCAAAAAGAAGAAAAATGCATGAAACGAAAGAATTTGAAGAAACGTTTTTGAATATGAGCAACAGAATAATGAATTATATGGAAAGTTCAAAATCATTCGCACCAGATAAGGCATTTATGCAATTTATTACAGCACAGTTTAAAAGTCTATCTGAATATGAGAAAACTTTAAGAAGGAAAATGATCATGGATGCTGTATGTTTGCCATTACCAAAGACATAATTTCATTTTATATATTTTATTATCCTTTTATATATTTTATTACTTAATGTTTTCTAAAACGTATTAATTATTTTCTTGTCCATTTGACGTAATTTAAAGTATAATTTCAGTTTGTTTACTGTAATAATTTTATACTGTGATAACTAATTTTAATAGTGATTTTTTACTGTGATAACTAGTTATAAATTTAATTTATTTATTTATCATAGTGATTATTACGTCTCTAAATATATAGTATATAGTAGTATAAGTATATAGTAAAGTTTCAATAATCTCTTATTGATGTTTAAAACATTAGTAAGACGTTATTTGATATCACATTGTTTTTAATTTATTGCAAATATCTTTCAAGTTACAAAAATCTCGCAAGTTTTGTTTTTCTATTGTTTTACTGTCACTACAATGAGATTATATTGAAATTAATTTATATAACTACTTGAGACAAGGACTTATCTGTTTCTTTTTTATTATTATGATTATTATTGACAGTGAGATTATAATTAGATTAATTTATGTAACTACTTGAGAAAGAAGACTTATCTGTTTTTTTTACATATTCTTTTTACTTAATATACTATTTTACTATATTGAATATAAATATATGAATATAAGTGTAAAATATATGAAAATAAATATGTGAATAAATGTATGAATATAAATATACAATTATAAAAGTTGAAAATTTTAATATACCTTTTTACGTTATATATATGAAGAATTGTATTTAATTAACGTACAAAATGTGTAATAATTCAAATTTTTTTTTTATTTCATCCATCTGCATGAACACCTCTACGGATAAAGTCATACTGCCACTCTACTTGTCCAGGTGGAGAAATAAAATAATTGCATAATGTATTTCTTTGAGCTTGAGCTTCTTTTACATTACCACTACATTCTTCAGCATTTGGTAATGACAACCACATCGCATCCTACAATATGATTTAAGAAATGTTATTTAAATAATACAAAAACATGTGCAAAACAACTTATATTTCTCTAATTACTGAATCATAATTAATCATAATTGTTTACCTCATTTATATTTTCTGGAATTATTTCACTACTATAATGGTTATATCTACAGCATTGTTCTTCCTGTAATACATAATTATGTAGACAGACCGAAGCTGTAGCCATTATATTTCCAGTTTCTGGTAGTGTGCAAATAGCTGAATGAAGTATTCTCCATTTATTGGCAAGAATTCCAAAAGCACTCTCAACAGTTTTGCGTGTTCTGGAAAATCTGTAATTACAAATTTTCTGTTCATCGCTCAAATGTTTACCAGAATAGGGTTTCATTATCCTGGTTGAGAGTCTAAGGCCCGGTTCCACAACTTACTGTAAACGAAGTTTAACTCGTTAACCCTAGTTTAGATGAAAAATTGCGTTCCACAACTGCCTTAAACCATGGTTAACGTTGATTTCTCGTAGTTAAAGTTAAACCCAAAACTTTGGGTGTTTAATGAATTTAAACGAAGTTTAACACTGCAGTACCATCAATTTGAGAAAAAAATTTATGACTATCCCGGTTTTGAAGTTCAGTTGACAAATATTTTGAACGTTTGAACACCAAGATATGGCTTTAGAATACATATTATCTTCATCTAAAGATGAAGATTTTGAAAATCTAATTTATCGACGGACAAGAAATATAAGAATAAGACGACCATCATATTTGGAAGAATTTGATAATGTCGATTTTCATACACGATTTAGATTATCAAAAGAATCTGTTATTGTAGTTCTAGCAGAAATCGAGCATGAAATTTCTTATAAAACAGAACAGTAAGTATATAAATTTAATTTAAAATATTGGGTTTTTTGCTTCGATAAATTATATCCCACTCGGCATGTAATATTGCTGAAAAACTGTAATGATACAGAAATATTTCATAAACATTTCAACTGTAACTTTGCATCTGAAGTATTTCAACGAAGTGCCTACATCATGTGTTTTGTAATATTGCAATCGCAATATTTCTGAAATTTTGAAGAAAAATAAAAAAGTTAGCGTTCATATTAATATGTTTCTATAGTATTGCAAAAGAAATGTGGCAGACGTAATATTTCATATATATTTCTGAAGCATTATAAAAGTAATATTACACTTACTTTGTGCAAATAATATTTCTGTAACATGTCAAACGCAACATTGCAATTAAAATATTTCTGAAAATTTTCTGAAAGGTTGTGTAGATAATGAAAAATTGAATTGTAAATTTAATTGCAAAGTTGATATCTGTAATATTTCAGAAGAAATATTGCAGATGCAATGATTTAGAAATATTTCTGATACAAGATAAAAGTAATTTTACATTTACATTACACATATTATATTTTTATTATTATATTTATTATATTTCTAAACATTTCAGATGCAACATTGTATTTGCACTATTTATGAAAATTTGTTGATAGACTAGAACTTACAAAAAATTAAATATATATATTTATAATTAATTATAATAATTATCGTAATGAAATATAATATAAACTTTATATTTGAAACTTTTAAAACAATTAAAATGCCGCGTTAATAAACAATTTTTTGAATTTTATTTAAAATTGATTGTAGTATAAATTGTGTGTGGGTGTATATGTGTGTGTATAATCTTCAGTTATATAGGATTATTTATCATGAAAAACCATGCAAATTTGATATAAAAACATAGTTTTCTATATTTAGTAAATAATAATAAAATAAAAGTGTAGATGAAATATGCAATAAAATTGAAAATATAGATTTTAATGTACATATATTTTATTAGAAAGATAAAATTACAAAAGTTTTATTTACAAGAAATAAATCTTACATATAATTAATTGTAGTATGCAAAATAGGAAAAACGATAACGGAATGTGCTTTTTTATTATTTTTAGGTAATTTTAGTAATTTGGCCCTTATAGATGAACATAGCCATGATAAAATAACATCATTTACTTTACACATGTGGATCGAAAAATCAGATGAACTCATAGGATATTCATATAAACTTTTTAATTTCACAAATTCTCTACCAATAACATATGGTATATTATCATGAAGAACAAAATTTAGCGCTTCAACAATAGAGCCATCATCTAATAAACAGCAATTATTCTTGTTATCTATAATACAAACGTAAAAATCATCTTTGTACATTTCTTTATATTGTTTTAAAAAGAATGTATTTTGACGCATAATACCGTTATAATGGCGTTGTTCCAATTTGATTAAATTTCCAGAAATTTTTATTTTCTTTTGCGACGTTAATTATATATACTCTTTCAATCTTCTGGAAATTTGTTGGAGTGGCTTTTCACCCTTTTTCACAAGTTTTATCAATGTTCCTATAAAATTTTCGAATCGAAATGCGCTAAAATTGTCTAAGGCTCCATATTTCTTAACATCTGCTGCAATATGTTGCAAATTATGCACATTATGACTGATATATCTTTTACCATACAATGTTTCAAAACTCGAAACAAAATGATTTAATAATTGTCCCGCATAAGATACATTTACATCATGAAGAGAAAGAACTAGTGAAGCTAAGATAGTAATAGCGACATGTAATTCTAGGAAATGATTGTATAAATCTTTTCTTAAATGTTTACGTAAAACTACTGATCCCAAGTATAATAAAAATAAACGAAATTCCGTGGCTTTCCAATATTTTAAGTATTTCAGAGCTCTTGGTTTTCTGTTAAAATCCGATGGTATAAATTGTACAAAATCTGTTAACGCATTAGAAATTTCATGCACAATGTTGGACTGAAGTCGTACATTTTTATTGATTGGTCCGTTTAACCAAAGCTTATGCATCACTCCTAGACACACCAGATGTATATTAACTTATGCATCACTCCTAGACACACCAGATGCATATAATCTAACGGAACGTTAGATACCAATTCAAAGTACGGTATGTTTATGAGCTTGGTTTCTTTATTTTGATAATCTAAATTATAATTAAAGTTTTTAAACATTTCGTCAGTTCTAAGTACATCGCAAAATCCTGGAAAACATATTGTGTTTTCAATGTAATCTTCATGAATACAACATTTGGTACAACTATCATAGCCGCTGTGACTTTTAACCATTAAAATAAACGCTTTAGCTGGTGAATCATATATCATTCCCTTGATTCGTATTTTATAATTATTATTATTAAAATCAATACCCTCATTAATTAATGAAATCGCTTCATCTATAAATGATTCTAAAAATTTATTCGCATCACTCGGTTTTCCTTCTCCATAGTAGATACCGACAACATGAACTTCTTTAATAATGTCATCTGAACATAATATAGGCCACAGACATTTTTGCGTTGATTTATCAAGAGGTGCACCGTCAACATTTATGAAGAGATTAACTGTTTTATTATCTAAATGTAATTGTAAATATTGCCTTTTATTCAAAATATTTATTATTGCATTTCTTAAATCACTATGCCAGTATTGTCCTTGACACATTTCTTTAACATCTGTAGATGTAGGAATATGGAGAAGTTTTCGTGGATCCTTTGGAAATTTTACATTAGTATGTAAATTTAAAATTCTCAATAAATCAACCTTGGCTTCTCGTGATGTTTTGAATTGTCTCATCCATGTAGCAATATCTTGTATGAAGTTATCATTAATCATAATTTCATCATCATTCTCTGCTTTATCCTCAATCGACTCTATATCTGATGCTTCTGTTTCATTATCGTCACTTGAATTGAAATTTGGGTATTCATAACTATGAATACTGCTATTGTAGAGTCATCGTTTTCATTACCTAATACCTCATGTATATCATCTGTAAAATATACATCTTTGTTTACCAATGATTAAATGTACGTATAAGCTAAAATTTTAAACTCATAATAAAAAAAATTACATATATATGTATATATATTAATTATCATTTTGTCTTTACGTTTCATTTTTTATAAAAAATAATTTTAAACGCTTATTTATAATTTATTTATAATTGTATGTAAAATTTGTTTATAATTTTTATATAAAATTGTATATAACATTTATAATTGTATATATATAATTATATATAAAAATAGTATTATATTATATAATGTAAAAATTTAAATATATTTTTAAATATTATTTTATTCATTATTACTGCATATTAGCGTCATTATTATTGTGTTCTTTTTTATGTTAAATGTAAGTATCAATTATTCTAATTTTACTAAATTACTATACTTATGCGTCTCAATACAAGCATATATATTATTAATATTATTAATATATTATTAATTATACTTATATATACTTATATACTATATACAGGGTGTTTGAAAGCTTATCATGCAGACGAAAGTTGGAAATAGATTGGGTGTAGCCGAGAAGAAAAGTCATGTACCATAATGTCAAATTAGCAATAGTTACCGAGTTATTAATTGATACATGTGAGCCAACGAGCGCGTAGAGAGCGGAGGGCGGCCGCAATAAGCACGTAGACATTTGATACAGGCGGAGTCAACGAGTGGCGATAGGTGAGCGCGCGCGGCGAGGGGCAACATAAGCGACAAGAGGTAAGCGCGCGCAACGAGGAGCGAGCGAGCGCGAGCGACAAGAGGCGGTCACCCAGCGCTCTCTACGCGCTCATTGGCTCACATGTTTAAATTAATAATTCGGTAACTATTGCCAATTTATCATTATGGTACATGATTTTTCTTTTCGGCTACACCCAATCTATCTCCAACTTTCGTCTGCATGATAAGCTTTCAAACATCCTGTATATACTATACACTTAAATATTATATATTCATCCTGCAGTTGCAATATGTCATAATCAACATTGTCATACTCACTATGTTCCAATATTTGATCACTAGTATGAATCAATCTCTCATTTCCACTTGGATTAATCGTTTGGATAGGGATAAATGATGATGGCAGATTTTCTAATGCACCAAAAATTCTGTATACATTAGCTTCAGTTTGTTGTTGTATGAGACGACGGTTGTGTTTATCTGAATAGAAACGAATTTGTTTCTGTCTCTTATCATCCGCCATTCTACATTCAGCTGTAAATATTAATATTCTAAACATTAAAAAGTATCATAAAAGCAAATATATACTCCCAGATAGCCAAACCTGTGCGAGCAGATTTCGAGCAAAGCCTGCTGTCATAGTTTGATGGCAAATAGGCAACAAATTTAATGCAAAATTTGTTGCCTATATCAAATTATGCCACCAATCTGCGGTCAAATATGCGCCAGATCCTGCTGTCGGATATTTGATGGCAGATTTGTAGCAAAAACCGCGCAAGACTTGTAGTAATTTGACGGCAAATTGGCGGCAAAAACTGAGCAAATTCTGCGCGCAGACTCGGCGTATAGTTTGGTAGCAGGACCTGTGCGGTTTCTGCCAACAATCTGCTCGCACGGTCTGCACGCAGGACTTGTCGACAAAGCACGAGCCTAATGAGGACACAGATGGCTATGATTTTGATGTGGGGATCTGATCAAAATTGGCGTCAATCTGCGCGCATTCTGCTAGCATTTTGCTTACTGGGTTATATTAGTATACACAGTCTACTTATTGTTATCATTTATCAGGTGTGAATAAGTTTCCAGCGTTATTTATTGAAAATGACAGGGCTTATTGAGAAAATGGAATACAATCTTAATTATCAAAGTATATTTATTATCAAAATATTTTTTCTTACTAAAATGGAGTAATTGCTGTTGCGCTCGGCAATTGCTCTGAGCAAGAAAATGGAAGAGAAACGATTGTTTACTGGTCAAGGAACGCAACAGGTCATACTGCTGCATGACAATGTTCATCTCCATATCGTTTTATCGACAAAACAAAAACAATTTTCGACCTAAGGTGAGAAGTTCTTTCACATGCAACATATTCAACTGATCTCGTTTCTTCAGATTATCATCTGTTTAGGTTCCTACAGCACACACTTTGTGGGCAGTGCTTTGCAAACGTCGATGATAACAAAAACTGCTTCGACAACTTCATCGCCTTTAAGCCACAATCTTTTGTGCAAAGAATGTGAAAACTACCTGATTTATGGGCTAAAGTGGCCTAGAGGCCTAGAGAGATTTATGGGCTACAGAGTCAGGAAAATACTTTCATGATTAAGATTGTATTACATTTTCTCAATAAATACCTATCATTTTCAATAAACAACGCTGGAAACATACACACAAACTTAATATATTATTTGTATGTTTTTATTTATTATTGTTATATTATTATTGCGGAACATTTTCTGCAATTACCATAAAAAGGAGCTCGTCTTATATTGCAAATGATTATTTTTTATTAATTTATTAAAATAAGAATGTTATAAATTGTTGTGTTAACCTCATTTATATTTCTGTAGGGAGACTATTGAAATGTTGCGTTATTATCCGAAAATCAATTTCTTGGCACAATGCGAAACTAATATATATATATATATATATTTACACACACACACACACACGCACACGCACACGCACACGCATACGCACACGCACACGCACACGCATACGCTCACGCACACGCTCACGCTCACGCACACGCACACGCACACACACACACACACGAAAATTTGAATGATAATTGTTAATGATTAATAAATATATCAATCAATTTATATGTATATATTAATTTACAGATGATTACTCAAGTGCAAAAGACATTCTACAAATTATTCAAATAGTATCTGATGCAGAATTGTCTGAATTAGATGAAACTAAATTGAAAAAATCAAGATCAAAACGTCATAAAAAATATATCAATTTACAGATGATGCCACCACTTCAAACGACGAAAGTTACAACAGTGCTAAATCTACTAAAAAAGTCAAAAAAGTGTCTCATAATTTGCCATTAAAGCCAGCACAATTTCAATCTTTTTTGCAATATACTACAACTACAAATAAATCTTTAGGTGAGATAATCTCATAACAATTTTATAACGTATTCAATAATTTTAAAATAAGTACTTTAAAGTTTTTCGTTCTAATATTGCTTTAATTGAATGAAATTGTGATAAATTATAAATTTTACATTACAATTTTTTAATAATATTAAGTTATATGCCATCTGCTTTACGCCTCTCTCTCTCTCTCTCTCTCTCTCTCTCTCTCTGTCTCTCTCTCTCTCTTTCTCTCTCGACGCGAGACGTTCTGAATGTGTAAATAAATGCGCGTTTTCGTCACACGTTTTCCTCGCGAAAATGATTATCTATGCTATCCTTTCCACACCACCTGGCAATAGATAGTATAGCGCGTTTTTTTAGTGATATCCGCAGGAAGCTTAATAGTTTTGTAAATGTATAATTATCCACTCTGTATAAATGCTATAAGTTTCTTTTATTGTATTTTTTTGCGTTGCATTCTTTTTGTGTTGATTTTATAGATGCTAAAAAAACTCAGGTAAATTTTGAAAAGGAAATAGCAGTTGGTGATAGTCTTAATAGTAGTTCTTCATTAACATTATCTGCAAAGTACGATAACAATGATAATCAAAGCAGTTCAATAGTATATCAAAAGAGTCTATTGAAACCAGCTGTACATTTAACTCGCCCCAGTAGTTCAAACATTGAAGAAATGCTTTTAAGTCTTATAGGTAAATATCACGTACATGTGTTATTGAATCAATTCTAAAAATGTTTTTGATTACTTTTTTTATCAGAGTTTGTAATTATTTGATGTAATTTTTTTTATTTCAGAATTTAGCAAGGATATAATTAAGAAAGTTAATAAATTTACAATTTCAATTGAAGATTTGAATAAAAGAATACAGATTATTGAAAATATCTTAAATACAAGAAAAGGTAGATTAACAAATGAAACTTCTATAACTGACGAAATTGAAGATTTTATATCATTGCAAACAGTTGACAAGTTTAATGAATTTGACAACAAATTAGATAAACATGAATATCTTCGACAAGTGGTAAGTACACAATTGTATTATAATTTTTGTCCTTATTATTAATACTATAGCTCTAATTTCTTTAAAAATTATGAAAAACTAACAATATATAAATTATAAAATATAAAAGTATTAAAACGTATTAAAAATTATTATAAGTAAAAAATTATAAAAACTAAATTATTTAAAAAATTATAAAATATTATAATATAATTATTCTGCCTGTTTGGTCGACAATATAAATTTGTCCTTTATTGAAATAATATGCTGAAATGCACCTTGCTTGGAGCAGATATAATATAACATTAATAATAAAACATTTTTAGGTACAAGAACAGTAACTATAGGTTCATGTATAATTTGTAAGAAGGCAAAGGCTACACGGAAAACAATTATAATTTTTACCAATATGAGATTAAAAGGTAACTGTAGTGTGTTTTAATGAGATTGCTTACTATAGTTGTGGTTATTGGGTAAAATTCTTATAATTTTTATTTACATATTTGTTAAAAATTTTGATATTTCAGATTACATTGTTTTAAATTAATGTTTTATTAATCTATTTTTAAAATAATTCTTAATTTTAGATTTTAATTAATATTTTCTGCATTATAAATATTTCAATAAAAAAAATTTGTATATTGCAATAATGGGTATATATTATGAATGTTTGTACATGTATGTTTATACAATAGTTATACGAATTGATGCAGGAGTGCAGTGAAAAGCATATTATTTTTATATGTTATAAGAGTTTACCTTCTCATTTTACATTAAATATATACAACCTTGCATGGTCTTAGAAACTAAAGGTGTAGGAAAAGCACAAAAATTAGTAATTGAAAGACTACTTTTTAACAAGAATCGTGTATCTCAGATCACCAGAACTGAATATGTTGTCTAATATTTTTTATAAAAAGAATAAAACTTCTACCAGTTATTTACTCTTTTATTTAAAATATTCTACTATTCTACATTTATTATTTTACTTACGTATATGTATACTCTACAATATTCATAAAAAATAATTAGTTTAAGGAAGTTTGCAACAGTTTGTGCACAATCGGTTATTTGGAATAACGATAGTACTCTTTTTATAATATTTTCTTTTTTTCTATAATAGAAAGATTTTCTATAATAGAATAGATTTTGTTACATTTATTATTTTAATATTTTTTTATCTTTTAACAAATTTATAATTACTGAATGAATTGTTTATTTCTGTACTTGAACATTACTTATTCTGTAGGCTAAATTCATGAAATGTATTGGTGGCTCAGAGACACACGAATTGGTTCAAAATATTCTAAGAAGATTTATAACGAATAAATTGGCTACATTTTTCAATATTCAAGGCAAAAACTTAAAAAAAAAGGATGACGCACAGTCGAAAATAGCGTTTAAAAATACGAATTTATTGAAATGCATAATCAGTAAGTTTTGATGATAATGATATCAATTGTATAGCATAAGTGTGCACAATTTAATTTATAATCAATAATAACTTTTAGAAGCTGCTCAACTTCATCGTAATAACGTTGACGAGTATAATGTGCAACGTAGAAGTATTGCACCTTGGTTAGCCCAAGCAAATTTACGTTTATCCAGAGAAAAGTAATACTAACTTTACTTAAAAGTTTTACTGTATAAGTATTAAAATTTGTATAATGTATTAAAATATATATATTTTTCAGAGCTAAAGAGACAAAAAAAGACGCAATTCTAATTGAACAACATACTTCGAAAAACAATAGTGATAAAACTACATCTGAAGACGAAGAGGGAACTATGTAATAATATTTTAAAGAGGTTTCTTTACATTTTTCTGTCTATGATTTAACATATTACATTTTTCTGTTCCATGATTTAAAAAAGTACATCTGACGACAAGAAAGAAACTATATAATAATATTTTTAAGAGGTTTTTTTTACATTTTTCTGTCTATGATGTACTACATTTTTCTGTTCTAAGATTTAACATACTATATAACTTAAAGTGATTATACTTTAATTATCATAACTTAAATTACTTAATTACTAATATTGTCTTTTTCTCTTGTAAGAAATATAATAAAAGAGATATTTAGAAAACCATGACAAAAATAGAAGTGTTCAATTTTTTACACGCATTTTTATCATAATGTAAATTAATTATCATAATAATTAATAGAAGTTTACCAGAGGGTGCGTTTCCACTGAGTGCGTCATGCGTCGCAATATCCGTCATTAACCGATCAAAACATCCCATTTTATTACTTCACAAATAGAATATTTTGATTTGCTAACAACAGTTGACGCGACGCATGACGCGTTCAGTGGAAACGCACCGTCTGGCAAACGACTTCTATTAATATAATCAATGTAAATGTATTAGACATATTTCTGAGATATATTTATTTCAAAATATGTATTACAGTAAGTATATATATAAGCAGTAATATATATATTTCTAGGGCTTGATTCTCGAATGCGTACGATAAATTTTCGCATACAAAAGTGATGCTGTGCGTCCATTGATTGGTATGTAATTTGAGATTAAAAAGTTAATACCAATCAGTGAACGCACAGTATTACTTTCGTACGTGAAAATTTATCGTACAAGTTCGAGAATGGAGCCCTAGAAATATATCCACAATTTCTCGGAAGAAATGTATCTGAAATATATATTCTGAGGTGTTCCTGCAATATTACATAGACATGTTTCAGAAATGTTGCAGTCATATTACCAAAATATTGCGGAAATTTTCCAGCAAGGTTGCATTTGAAATGATCGCGGACATTGAAACATTGCAGAAATGTTTCTGAAACAGTCCTGAAATATTTCTATAATAATGCTTAAAGGTGTAATATTTCAAATGAAACATTGTAGCAATGTTTTAGAGATATTACATGCCGAGTGGGATTCTAAAACAGAGTATAAAACTATATATAAAAAATTATTATATGATAAATGCAATCAAATCAATAATATAAGCTAATTGATTATTATCTAATTATCTATAATTATCTATAATTGATTAACACTGGACTTCCACCTTTTAATACTTTTAATACTTATATACAAATACAGCAAACGTTAATGTTGGTTAGTGTTTACTTCATACGAAACAGATATATTGTTCTCTACTAGATGTCACAGCATCCAACTTATTTCAATTTTCCCTCTTTTCACTATTAGCAACAACCAATCATACTCTACGTTTGAAAAGAAAGAGAAGTCGTTGACAGTTTCTTCACAGACTATAGGTTTAAGTAAACTACAGTTAAAAACATGATGTGGAACGCGATATAAGTTTAACCATGCCGTTAAATGTAACGTCAGTTCAGATAATCACGGTTTAAACTTGATTTTGTGCAACTGGATCTTAAAGCATCATCAGCAATAAAATATCCAAATGTCTTCAAATTGCTACCAGGAAGATTAGCAGTTCCTTTCGGCAGATTTAATTGCTCATTATTTAACTTTATTCCTATTTCAGAATTGTTAAAAATTTCTCCATCGTTATCTTCTACAAAATCAAACATAATTATTTTGCTTTAAATGTATTTTGCAAAAGTGTAAATAACATGTCGTTAACATATTACTTATAATTTAAAGGATATCACAGGCATAACACATAGATACTAATATTTTTTTAAGACTTACTTCCATAAACTCCTATATCAACTAAATCTATATAAATAGTCCGCTACTGCCATTAAAACTATGCCATAATATTTTTTATAATTATAAAATAAAGTTCCACTATTAGGAGGACATCGAATTTTTATGTGCTTCCCGTCAACTGATCCAAAACAATTTGGAAAATTCCACTTCTTCCAATACCCATCTGTACATTTTTTCCAATCTTCTTCAGCAGGAAAAGTAAAATACATTGATTGTAAAACTTTTATAATTACTACACAAACTTCCTTTACTACTTTCCTTTTTCTTCTTTTTTCTTTCTCACGCAGGGGAAATCCATCATGGATACCCCCACCCCTTGGGGGGGTGGGGGTTATGTCGGACTCCTACCGACTAAAACCTGCGGAATGTCTACCTGTCGGACCGTGAGGAGGGGAGTTAGGGGAACTGCTCTCGCATTCCCCCCCAACCCCCCGGCCCCAGGGCTCTAAAACGAAGAGCCCCACGCCCCGTGTACCGCACCCCCTTCCCCTTTCAGGGAATTAGTGGGAGGGCGCGATCCCCGGCGGGTTGCCCCGCCGGTTGCCTTCTAGTGTCACCTAGGAGGAAGGGGACATCCACCCTTCCTCCTTATCCCTCCCTCCCTGTGAATCCCAGGGAGAGGGGAGAATCGGGGAGGTGGGCCCAGCCCCAACTGGGTTGTCCACCTCCCCTTTTCCCTACTTATCCGATCAGTCGGGGGAGGAGGATGGGTCTGACCCATCACCCCCCCCCCGACTGACGGAGACGGGCCCGAGGCCCCGACCCGTATAGGTCAGCGGCTTCTCCTCGGCCGATGCCACTTCCGGCCCGCTGTGAATCCCCCCTCCCGGGGAGCGCTGGCCCCGTCGTCTTCTACGACGACGTACCCCGGGCCGACGCTCTCACTCGGCGGCCTCCTTCCGGGACATCACGTCCCTGCAGAAGGAGCCCGCCGCTTCCCAGGCTTCCTCGCTCCCGCACATAGCTTTCACTAGGTGCGGGAGCGAGAGCCCCCCCTCCCGGCAATCCACCGCCCCGGCCAGGACACGGCGCTGCTCGTCCCATGCCGCGCAGGCGGCCAGGGTATGCAGCGCCGTGTCCATAGGCTCGGGGCAATGGTGGCACCGAGCGGTGGGCTCCTTCCTTATCCGGTGCAGATACCTCCCGAAGCAACCATGCCCGGTCAGTATCTGCACCAGATGGAAGGACATTCCACGTCCCCGCCTGCCTGACACTTCGGCCAGGCAGGGGCGGACAGCCTCGGCCGTTGCAAGCCCGGACCTTCGGGGATCGGCTAAAACGCCTTCCCACCGCTCCAGGGTCCGGGCTCTGGCCTGGGTCTTCAGGGCCTTCAGGCCCCTGGCCGTCAACTCTCCCGCCTCGCGGAGCTCCTTTATCCTCCAGTAGAGGATTGCCCGCTCCTCGGCTAGGAGCTCCACGGGCGGGGAACCGGCCAGGGTGGTCGCCATGTACGACACGATGCGGAACCCCTTGATCGCCCTGATCAGCAGCGACCTTAGGGCCTGCCGTAGCAGACGTTTGGCCACCGTGCTGACCTGCAACTGAGGCGCCCATATTGGCGCCCCGTACAGGGCGATCGAGAGAACCGCACCGATGTACAAGCGGTGAGCCCGCCATCCTGGGCCCCTTTGGGCGCGCAGCAGGCTGGTAACTGCCATCCCTGTCTTGCGCACCCTGGGGGCCAGTTGCCTGAAATAAGGCCCGAATCACCATCGGCTGTCCAACGTCAGGCCGAGATACTTGATCGTCGGCCCGACGCGGACGTGAACGCCATCGACCAGGACCCGGGTCTCCGGCGGCGCCCCCCGACTGCCGTCGTGAAAGTACACGGCTTCAGTCTTGAGGAGCGCCACCTTGAGACCCAGGTCCCCGATGGTTATCACCACCGATGCCACTGCCGCCTCCGCTCGGAGGCGGGCTTTCCCCCAGCTCTCCCCTCCGGCCACCACTAAAGTGTCGTCTGCATAGCAGACGACGTGGCAGCCGTCGGGGAGTGGAATGCGAAGCACCCGTCGAACGCGATGTCCCATAACAGAGGGCCGAGAACCGACCCCTGCGGGACACTGCGTTCCATAGTGCGCCAGCCCTGGACCCCGCCCTCGTTGGTGAAGGCGAGGTCCCTGCCCACGAAATAGTCGGACAGGATCCGTCGGAGATAGGCGGGCACCCCGTGATACACGAGGGCCCGCCCAATCTCCGGTCAGGACAGGGTGTTGAAGGCGCTGTTGATGTCGAGAGATACCGCCAACAACACCCCGCCCTTCCTCTCCACGACCGTCTGGGTCAGGTCCCGGACCCACTGGATAGCACCCAACGTGGATCGTCCGGGCCTGAACCCATATTGCCGGTCGTGGAGGTCCGGCCCCTTCGAGGACAGGTGCTGGACGAGGCGGTCGGCAATGATGCGTTCCAGCAACTTGCCCACCTCGTCCAGCAGGCATATCGGCCTGTAGGCCGACGCACTCCTGGGCGCCTTACCCTCCTTTGGGAGGAGGACCAACTTGGCCCTCCTCCACTCTGGGGGGAATACCCCCTCCTTGAGGCATCCTGTCATGACCCTACACATGGCCGTGGACAGGTCTCCTTCGGCCAAAGCGAGAGCCCAGGCGCGGCCAGGAATCGCATCGGGGCCAGGGGCTTTCCCCTTGCCGCCGAGCTTTTTCCTGGCCCTCTGAGATGAGCTCCTCTGGAGTGACCTCCAGGCCCTCTTCCCAGTCTCCTTCCCCCAATTCAGGGGAAGGGATCGTGGGAGGGCCCCCTTCCGCCCTCGGAAAGAGGGCGTCTAGGAGCCCATCGAGGACCTGGGAGTCCATCGTCTCCGTCGGTGGGGGCGCCTATAGACGAACTTTCCCCATCGTCCTCTTATACGGGCGCCCCCACGGATCCTCATCCAAGGAGCTAACCAGTTGCTCCCAGGCTACTCACTTGGCCTCCTTAATGGCCTTCTGGAGGACTACTCTCTTCGCGAGATAGTCCTCCTTTGCCCTTGTGGCTTCCCGGTCGTGTCGCCGGGCCCGGACATAGGCCCGTCTGGCGCGGCAGGCGGCATCGCGAAGCCTCGCGATGTCCTCTGATC